CAGCAAAAGTGCAAGTGTCTAATTTTAAGACCATTCACCTTATTGACACCTCTATACACTTCTACTATTCTGGGGTCAAGTTGTTGCATCGGACAGCCAGATACTTCTGACATGACTGTTCCTACTTCTGTCTGTTTTTCTGTTATCTTCTCCATTATAATATCTGCTAAGGTTCGCCTGCAAGACAAAAAAAAAAAAAACACATACACACAAATCATTTATTTGTGTATGATTATGTACATCCAAAGCCGAGATGCTACTGGGGTCTTGCCTCATTGGGGGGTTCTTATTCATGAACATCTCAATGGCTTTCTCGTCATCTGCGTCAACCACAACTTCGGTATCATACACAGTGTTGGTGTCACCTTTACCAACGGTTGCTCCCAGCGTTGGCCACTCCTCATCTGAATCTGCATCCTGAGATGAGGGACCTGAAAAATCATTTCAAGGGGAAAAAAAAACATTTTTAGAGAAGTCCTTGTGTTCCACTTGGCACATTTGTGTGAAAAATGTTACCATGAAGAATCTAAAAAGTAAATGCAGAAAAACTGTACGGTATGACAATATAACAAAATTTGTACAGCCATGCTGTAGTCCGTCAATACCCTAATCACAATGACGGTGAACATTTTTATGAAAAATACCTGTAGTCCATAAATGAAAACAATCAAATGCAATACAGTAAGCACTGCAGTAATTAAGGGTGCAGAGGCAACTTTACGCCATCTTTATGCAGTATATTGCAAAACATTAGGAGGTTCAATTGGAAGATTGTTATGAATTTGTTTGAAATGCAATTGATAAAACAAGCTCCATTGCAACATGTGAGTTTTATTGTTTATAGTGTAGTCCCAATACATGTCTTGGTAGCCTTACCAAGAAAAGTGACGGGTGCTTTCTTCTTTGGCACCAGGCCATATTCGCTCTGGAGTTCCTCTTGTTGAATTCTGGCTTGTTGCAAGATCTTCTTGGACAGACGTTCGTTCACGTAATTGTCTTCGCCCTCAATCCGATCGTCCCGAAGTTTCACTCGACCTTTGCTTCGAACGGTGTCGCCCTGTAGCATTTGGTCAACCAGAGTGTCCGACTGCCCTCGCTTGTCACCTCCTCCTTTAGATTTTTTCACTTTCGGCATGGTTGCGGTTTGTTTAGTCTGTAATAAAAACGTTCATAAATTCGTCCAGGTATGTTAACTCACTTTTAAATCGTTTTAACGGTGTAAACAGAAGTTAGCCAAACACGTGCCAATGTCTCTCAAAAGGAAGTCGTCCATTACGTCACATCCTCAATATGTTCACCTCTCAAAATGCTCCACTATATTTTTTCTTCTCTAGCATGTAGTTAATATCGTTCATACTAAATAAAAATATCATAATGAATATTGTTTTACGTGTTGTTTTTTTTTGTTGGACTAATTTTTACCGGAAGACCCAAATTCACCGTCAATAACCAAGACGAAGAAGAACTTCACCCGGAAGTATTCAGCCTACTTTGAAGACGGCATCTGGCAACAAACAATTATAATAAAATGGGTGTTACTTGGTGAGGTTTTATTTCCTTATTGTATCAGTGTACGGTTCGCATTGTCACTCATTAAACCTATTGCGTTTTAACGCGCATATAACCCTTCTGCTTTATCTCCGGTCCACAGCATCGCTTTGGTATTATTTTAAAAGCCTTTGGCAACTTTCCACTGCGATATTTTGACAGGACCTGAAGCGCAAATAACACAAAAACACATTTAAATTCCAACTGGAATCTCCTCAAGATGCCAAATGCACTTGGATAAGAACAAAATTCTAAATTCTTTCATTATTTTATTGTTTTAAACTGTATATGTCAGCAGCAAAAGTGCAAGTGTCTAATTTTAAGACCATTCACCTTATTGACACCTCTATACACTTCTACTATCCTGGGGTCAAGTTGTTGCATCGGACAGCCAGATACTTCTGACATGACTGTTCCTACTTCTGTCTGTTTTTCTGTTATCTTCTCCATTATAATGTCTGCTAAGGTTCGCCTGCAAGACAAAAAAAAAAAACACATACACACAAATCATTTATTTGTGTATGATTATGTACATCCAAAGCCGAGATGCTACTGGGGTCTTGCCTCATTGGGGGGTTCTTATTCATGAACATCTCAATGGCTTTCTCGTCATCTGCGTCAACCACAACTTCGGTATCATACACAGTGTTGGTGTCACCTTTACCAACGGTTGCTCCCAGCGCTGGCCACTCCTCATCTGAATCTGCATCCTGAGATGAGGGACCTGAAAAATCATTTCAAGGGGAAAAAAAAACATTTTTAGAGAAGTCCTTGTGTTCCACTTGGCACATTTGTGTGAAAAATGTTACCATGAAGAATCTAAAAAGTAAATGCAGAAAAACTGTACGGTATGACAATATAACAAAATTTGTACAGCCATGCTGTAGTCCGTCAATACCCTAATCACAATGACGGTGAACATTTTTATGAAAAATACCTGTAGTCCATAAATGAAAACAATCAAATGCAATACAGTAAGCACTGCAGTAATTAAGGGTGCAGAGGCAACTTTACGCCATCTTTATGCAGTATATTGCAAAACATTAGGAGGTTCAATTGGAAGATTGTTATGAATTTGCTTGAAATGCCATTGATAAAACAAGCTCCATTGCAACATGTGAGTTTTATTGTTTATAGTGTAGTCCCAATACATGTCTTGGTAGCCTTACCAAGAAAAGTGACGGGTGCTTTCTTCTTTGGCACCAGGCCATATTCGCTCTGGAGTTCCTCTTGTTGAATTCTGGCTTGTTGCAAGATCTTCTTGGACAGACGTTCGTTCACGTAATTGTCTTCGCCCTCAATCCGATCGTCCCGAAGTTTCACTCGACCTTTGCTTCGAACGGTGTCGCCCTGTAGCATTTGGTCAACCAGAGTGTCCGACTGCCCTCGCTTGTCACCTCCTCCTTTAGATTTTTTCACTTTCGGCATGGTTGCGGTTTGTTTAGTCTGTAATAAAAACGTTCATAAATTCGTCCAGGTATGTTAACTCACTTTTAAATCGTTTTAACGGTGTAAACAGAAGTTAGCCAAACACGTGCCAATGTCTCTCAAAAGGAAGTCGTCCATTACGTCACATCCTCAATATGTTCACCTCTCAAAATGCTCCACTATATTTTTTCTTCTCTAGCATGTAGTTAATATCGTTCATACTAAATAAAAATATCATAATGAATATTGTTTTACGTGTTGTTTTTTTTTGTTGGACTAATTTTTACCGGAAGACCCAAATTCACCGTCAATAACCAAGACGAAGAAGAACTTCACCCGGAAGTATTCAGCCTACTTTGAAGACGGCATCTGGCAACAAACAATTATAATAAAATGGGTGTTACTTGGTGAGGTTTTATTTCCTTATTGTATCAGTGTACGGTTCGCATTGTCACTCATTAAACCTATTGCGTTTTAACGCGCATATAACCCTTCTGCTTTATCTCCGGTCCACAGCATCGCTTTGTCGATTCACGAACGTAACTAGGCTGTAATTCTCAACCTTTATTGGGACAAGGCGTATGTTTTACATGTGAAAATCTCACGGTATACCACCAAATATAAACAATAGTTGGACACTGCATGCTGAAATAATCATTTGCTCGTCTCAGTTTACTCACACAAGTACTGACCTGTGTCTGCCATGACTTATTCTTTTGAATGAATGGGATAAATTATGTACCCCCAACCATCTAGTGGGAGGACATTTAATTGTACTACTTGTCATGATACATCACTGGCATGGATAGATGAACAACGGTGCATTTATGGTAAAGAATTAATATTTTCTGACCAATTAAGGGAAATAGGTTTGTGGTACATCTGATGATCTCTAATGGCACAATAATGTGCTGTTGAATAGTTATCACTGAGTAATCATATTCAGTCGCAAATTTGTGATCACTTTGCTGTTTGTTGAGTTTAAAACAATGTTTGTAACTTAGTGTGTGCCAGGTGCCGGTGGCAGAGGGGAAGAGCGTGCAGCAGACTGTGGATATGGTGCACAAGAAACTAGAGCAGCTGGGAGCTGTGAAACAAGGCAGCTTCTGTGTCGACTGTGAGACGTACCATGCGACTGGAACTGTCAGTGGTAATACTTAAGGCTGTTATTCCGTTTAGCTACATGTTTCATTTGAAATATGTGTTCAAATGTGCAGCAGGGCAGCTCCGTTTTTGGGGGCACTGTTCTTCTCGGGCGGCACGGTGGTAGTTTTTGCATTCACAATATTTTGTTTTAATATGGTTATGGTTTTCAGTAGTGTAAAACTAGAGTAAACTGAATCACAGGATGTTCCTAGTATTTTGCTCACCTTATTTAGTTCAACAAAGGCAAAATATAATGAATATAAATATAATATACAGAACATTATCTTGGAGTACAATTACAACTTTTGTAGATGTGTGTGTGTGCGTGTGTGTGTGTTTAGACTGAAGTTATAAAAATGGTTTGTAACCCTCGAAAGTCCGTAGAAAAGTAGGAGCTGCATTATACTGAATTTAAAACAACAGTAATAGTGATAGTGCTACCTTTGTGTTGCAGGCCAGCCTTCCAAACTCTTATATGTGATGCACAACTCAGAAACCCCCCTAAGCTGCCTGGCTCTGTTTGAGAACGGGCCCTGCTTGGTAGCTGATGCAAACTTTGACGTTCTTATGGTGAAGCTAAAGAGCCACTTCCAGAATGCCAAAGGCCACAAAGTGGAGTGCCGGGGGTCACGATACCGCTACTGCGACTTCCTGATCAAAGTTGGCACAGTGACCATGAGCTCAAGTGCCAGAGGAATATCAGTAGAAGTAAGGGCATACTGCCAATGATCCCACAACCTCACTTTGTTTTAACTGCACTCACTCTCTCTGCAGGTGGAATATTGTCCCTGTGTGGTTCCAGGGGACTGTTGGAATCTAATGAAGGAGTTTATGCAGTCATTCTTGGGCCCAAGTGTCCCAGATCTGCCATCTGTCTTTGCTGCCAAGCCTGAAGGCATTTTTGCACCGGCCGACTGCGTTGACACCATGACACAGTACCTGGAGTTGTTCAACAAACTGCGTAAACTTCAAATTCAAGGGAATAATGTGCGTTGAATTGCCATTCCTGATTTTGAATATTCCTAATAATGTTCATCAATTCTGCTCCTGCGGCTCAAGTTGCCATCCTGGAATCTAAGAAAGCCTGGACTTTTATTTTTATTGCTGGAGCCTTACATCATGTATAAACCCTTTTGATGGGTGTGTCTTGTATTTAAAAAAAAAAAAAAAAACACTGGAGAAGAACAAAATCAGAAATATTTGTGTATTCCCCTATCCTTTTCCGGTGCTCACACACATGACACTAAACAAGGTATTTACCATATAGGCTCAGCTGAAGACTGAATACGAATGCTCATGTGATAAGGCTGGGTGTGGAACCTCTATGGTGTACCCTACCTTTTGCTCAAAGCATATAAACTGAGTTTATGCTTCAACTCACCCTAATGAGGTCAAGCACAAGAGAAAATGGATGGCTGGAATGTAGACTTTGATGAAAGTCGTGGCGAAAAACCTTCGCCTTAAACATGAGGCTTTAAGTCAGAATGCACCAACACTGGTATTGGTGCTGAAACCATACGTATGTACTCATACTCAGAAAAATGCTCCAACAATAAGAATTCGAGACAGTTTCACCAACTTAACTTTAACTTTCTGTGCTGTTTGCTCTATTGGATGGATTAGAAGCCACGACAGTTTATGGACATACATTAGGGTAAATATGGACAACAACGCTAAAGTTGACACTATATCCTGTGCAAAATTGATGATGAAATCCGCTTGGGCAGTAATGGAGTTGGCAAGCTGTAAAGGCAGGGTGTCAGACAGGCACTGACTTTCTCAAAGCCCCATCTCCCGCTCCACGTGGCTCGGCTCCGGCCATTAAGAAGCGCAGCAAAGGCAGGCTGGCCCTGCTGACCCTCCTCCACCCAATGAGAAACATGCGGCAAGGATTAGAAAAACTTGCAATTGGATGTTAAAATGGCAGTAAGATGCCGTTCCTTTCAAAAGTGTTGTATTTGAGTGAAATGTGTGTCATATTCAAGAAAAAATACATTTTTAACAACTTTGATTAAAATAAAACACATTTTCATTGCTACTGCAAGACAAAGTATTGCATAACCAAGAATTGATGCCTTGTATCGTGTAATATTCAAAGTGTGTGTATCGGAACCTATAAGGATAGACATTTTTTCACATTTGTGAAAGAAATATTTTGGAGCTTTTTAACAAACCCGCCCTACGTGGCATGTCTGTGTGATTTCTGTTCAAATTGTCTTTCATGGAACGACTAGCTACTAATGTTTATGTGCCCATTTTTAAAAATTGGGTCACGAAAATGAGAAAATTGCACACCATACGGAATAAGATCCAAAACATTCCAGTCGTCACTATAATTAATGGTTGCCTGAAGGTTCTTTTTTCATGTAATTAGAACCAGAGCCCAGAATGTTGCAGCTTCTTCGATGTAAGCACATCCTTAAAACGTGTCATGAAATGAACACAAACCTCAGTGGTGACACCGAGGTCAGGCTCCTCCTCGCCCTGTTTGGGGCTGCGAGCTCGGGTTATTGTTCCATGTGGCCTTGGGTGTGTCTTGTATTAAAAAAAAAACCACTGGAAAAGAACAAAATCAGAAATATTTGTGGATTCCCCTATCCTTTTCCGGTGCTCACACACATGACACTAAACAAGGTATTCACCATATAGGCTCAGCTGAAGACTGAATACGAATGCTCATGTGATAAGGCTGGGTGTGGAACCTCCATGGTGTACCCAAAATTTTGCTCAAAGCATGTAAACTGGGTTTATGCTTCAACTCACCCTAATGAGGTCAAGCATAAGAGAAAATGGATGGCTGCAAAGTAGACTTTGATGAAAGTCATGGCAAAAAACCTTCGCCTTAAACATGAGGCTTTAAGTTAGAATGCACCAACACTGGTATTGGTGCTGAAACCGTACGTATGTACTCATACTCAGAAAAATGCTCCAACAATAAGAATTCTAGACAGTTTCACCAACTTGACTTTAACTTTCTGTGCTGTTTGCTCTATTGGATGGATTAGAAGCCACGACAGTTTATGGACATACATTAGGGTAAATATGGACAACAACGCTAAAGTTGACACTATATCCTGTGCAAAATTGATGATGAAATCCGCTTGGGCAGTAATGGAGTTGGCAAGCTGTAAAGGCAGGGTGTCAGACAGGCACTGACTTTCTCAAAGCCCCATCTCCCGCTCCACGTGGCTCGGCTCCGGCCATTAAGAAGCGCAGCAAAGGCAGGCTGGCCCTGCTGACCCTCCTCCACCCAATGAGAAACATGCGGCAAGGATTAGAAAAACTTGCAATTGGATGTTAAAATGGCAGTAAGATGCCGTTCTTTTCAAAAGTGTTGTATTTGAGTGAAATGTGTGTCATATTCAAGAAAAAATACATTTTTAACAACTTTGATTAAAATAAAACACATTTTCATTGCTACTGCAAGACAAAGTATTGCATAACCAAGAATTGATGCCTTGTATCGTGTAATATTCAAAGTGTGTGTATCGGAACCTATAAGGATAGACATTTTTTCACATTTGTGAAAGAAATATTTTGGAGCTTTTTAACAAACCCGCCCTACGTGGCATGTCTGTGTGATTTCTGTTCAAATTGTCTTTCATGGAACGACTAGCTACTAATGTTTATGTGCCCATTTTTAAAAATTGGGTCACGAAAATGAGAAAATTGCACACCATACGGAATAAGATCCAAAACATTCCAGTCGTCACTATAATTAATGGTTGCCTGAAGGTTCTTTTTTCATGTAATTAGAACCAGAGCCCAGAATGTTGCAGCTTCTTCGATGTAAGCACATCCTTAAAACGTGTCATGAAATGAACACAAACCTCAGTGGTGACACCGAGGTCAGGCTCCTCCTCGCCCTGTTTGGGGCTGCGAGCTCGGGTTATTGTTCCATGTGGCCTCGGTGGGTGGGTGGACGGACGGCCGGGCCATCCTGCTGCCTGTTGTTCCGCCACTCGGCCAATGGGAGGCCGACTGCCGCTCAGCCTGCGTCCAATGAGAGCGGCGGGGTCCGGGCTCGCTTCTAGAGTTGGGTTGTTCAATCTGAGTGAGGACAACAAGCAGATATTTTTTTCTTCCTCTCTGATGTGCCGGATGGATGCGTTCCGCTCCGGCGATGGTAACGTTACCCCCGCTATATTCCTGTTATCGCAACGCAACTCGTTATAAACGAACAAAGCGTTGCTTGTCCGCTGTGGATGTCAGCGGGGAGTTTGTACTCGCTTAGCGGCGCAGTGCGTTAGCTAAGCGGGTAAATCAGCGTCGGCGACCGACAACTGCGGCGAGGTCAACTTCAATTAACACAGGGGGCAACGCGAACTACACTTCCACCTTCTAACAATAAACCAGCGACTCTGCGACTCGCGTTTATCTCCGGCAAAGTGCCCATCAGAGACGTCGCCTCGGTTGCTTCTCGGCAAGCTAGTAGCGGCGCAGCGGCGTCCTCTTCGCCAGGTTAGCATGGAGCGAGCGCGAGCTAACTTGGTGGCCGCGCCGCCTCAACAAAGTTGCTGGATGTTCTCCGGAAGAGAGGGAGAGGGGCTCTTCTTCTTCACGCCCCTTTGTTCTGCCTCGACGCGGAGGTGGAGGCAGTGAAGTAGCCTAGCATGGCTGCAAAGAACCGCTCGAACAATCGGGATTAAAACAACCACGGCAGACCTGTGGTCAATCAGATAACAGGCAGCACCGTAAAACTGTACGATTAGCGACTGCGGTCCACGTAATCCTTGTTTAGTTCAATTGCCATTGCATTAAAACCTCAACATATAGATCTCGAGCTCAACACATGTGATTCAGTGCTGCTTTACGACCCAAAAGAACCCAGAGCACATTTTCATGGAGAGTCGTCACCATTAAGGTTTGTGTTTCCATCTTGTTTGCATGGAAATTTAAAAAAAAAAAAAAAAGATGACGCGTTTTTGACAACAATCCGTTCCAAGGTTACCTGCATCTTATCTCCAAATGTGATCAAATAAACATTAAATATTTTAAGATGTTCCTTTTCCACAAAATCTTTTGTGTAACCAAAACCTGGAGCCAGAGTGTTTGATAGCATCCAATATTGGGTGCATCAAGTGGTTTTTATGTGCATTTGGCTCGGAAAGTCAGCAGCTGTCTCATTTGTATCTTGTAGTTAACAAGCAAGGTAAGAGAATTCTCTCTTAACTGGAAAAAAACAATATCCGGAAAAAAAGTGTCATTCAGAGTCAAGATTTTGCTGTCACTGTGCCATGAAAAGCATGCCCTTCTATCTTCCATCTCTTTGAAATTGTTACGTGAAAAACAAACATATTTTGAAGGTCGTTTTCCAGAATTACTCCTAATTGAGTATGAATTGTGTGATTTTTTTTTCTCCTCAATACCCATTCCTTCCCCCTTGTTGAAGAAATGTGAAGATGTTCATTTCAGTTTTATAAAAATGAACCGCTGTGCTCCTCATACAAGAGCGCAGCTAATTTGAACCTTGAAGTGACCACATGATAAACCACATGAGTTCCAACTAGTTTGTTGAAATCCTGCTCAAGGCACACAGATTAAATTCAGGATTCCTGGAGAACACAGACACTCCAGATGAATGCAGTGTACACTTTTTTTTAACTTTGTGTGCATTTGAAGTTCTATAACGCCAACTCACTTTTGATTTGTATCTCCCTCAGAATATTCCAGTGGCTGCTGCTGACGACAGTGGATATGGATGATACAGAGCGTTGCTGTTCTCTTCAAACTCGGCGAGGTTTTGTGTGAAATCTGACCCATCCAACTATTTGAAGAGTAAGCACTTTTCCCTTCCCTTCGACTCTATGTACACTTACAATCCATATTTTTCCAATTCAAGAGCTATACCAAGAGTTACAGGCTTCATTGTGCGCACAGTATGAATTGAAGTATTATTGACAGTCATCCATAAAAAAATTACGGGCTGGGTGAATATTCCCCCACTGCAGTGTGATTTTCAGCCAGAGGGAAAAAAAAAAATTCCCTCCCTCTGTGCTTGCTGCCGGAGCAGCCAGCCAGGTAACGTTTGCACAACTTGGCCTAACAGGAATACCCGTACCTGTTCTCGTTGTGGGACCACCACAGCGGCGATTTCTACCTGCGGGGAGTTTGTGGTATTTCTGCACTACACTCGCGACGCTATTGAAGATAAGTGCGATAGAAAATGGATGGATGGATGGAAATAATCAAGAACCTATGATAAAATTGAGAAATGGTCTTGAGGCGAAGAATAAAAAAGAATTTGAAAAAAAATTCATCGTTCCTTGCTTTATGCCCCCCAAATTTAAGCTATCGGTAAAAACAACTCCTCCAATTGCTGTGGAGCAAACAAATGCTTAGTTTGTTGCGCCAACTAACATTGTTGTGATGAATACGAATAATTGATATTTTAAAGTTGCTCCAATTCAAATGAGAGATGGTGTTGAGGCTAAGGAAAAAAAAGATTAAAAAAAAAATCATTGTTCCTTGCATTATCCCCCCAAATTTAAGATAAAGGTCAAAACAACTCCTCAAATTGCTGTGGAGCAAACAAATGCTTGGTTTGTTGCGCCAACTAACATTGTTGCGATGAATATGAATAATTGATATTTTAAAGTTGCTCCAATTCAAATGACTTTTTGAGGCCCCCCCCCCCCAAAATATGTTTTTGTGTCGTACTTGAAGCGTGTCTTATTTTTTGAGGTGGTGCTAGTTGTAAAATAAAATATGTGATCA